GGTACGACAACCGGAGGAAGGAGTGGGAGAGTTCGGAGGTTCAAATGCCGATGCAGTCAGGGAGGGACTACTCGCTGGGAGAGTACTTCGTGGAGGTTAAGGTTGGCACGCCGGGGCAACCGTTCTGGCTCGTCGCCGACACGGGGAGCGAGTTCACGTGGTTTAACTGTGTCACGAGGAATGTGACTAAGAGGAGGAGTGGGACCAAGACGAAGCGTCGTGGTGGTGGTGGTGGTGGTGGAGGAGGAGTGCATAAGCATCATCATAAGGCTAGGAATAAAACGAGGACGAGGCATGGTCATGGCCATGGCCATGCTCATGGTCATAGTCATGGTCATAGTAACCCGTGCGAGGGGGTGTTCTGTCCGCACAAGTCACTCTCGTTTGAAACTGTCACGTGTGGGTCGAAGAAGTGCAGGGTTGACCTCAGCGAGCTTTTCTCATTGAGCTTTTGTCCCAAGCCTTCTGATCCTTGCTTGTATGATATCAGGTTGGTGGGATTCGAAATGTTTTTGTTCTTGGTTTGTGGTTGTTTTTTGTTTGTGGAGTTTGGAAGGGTGAAGACTGAAGAGAGTTTGGATTTTTTTTTTTAATTTTATTATTGTTGTTGTTTTGCCTTTTTTGTTGAAATGAATTAATGGGGTTGTTGAATTTGACAAAAAAAATTGATGGGGTTGTTCTGGCGAGGTGTCGGGTTTGTTACAATCGAAATGTGCTTGATCTTGGTTGGGAAATGTTTTTTTTTAGGGGTGGAAAAAGTTTGCTTTTTTATTATTATTTATTATTGTTTTGGCTTTTTTTGTGGAAATGAATTAATGGGGTTGTGAAATTTCCTAAAAAAAATTGATGGGGTTGTTCTGGAAAGATATCGGGTTTGTGACAATCGAAATGTTCTTGATCTTGGTTTGGGAAATGTTTTTTTTTTTGGAGGGGTGGAAAAAGTTTTATTTTTGTTTTTGATTTTGGCTTTTGTGTGGAAATAAGGCAATGGGGTTGTTAAATTTGACAACAAAATAGAAAATTTCCCGGAAAAAATTGATGGGGTGGTTCTGGAAAGGTGGGGTTGAAACGGGTGTTGAAGGGATTTCTGTTTTCTTGATTCTGGAATTGGGTGTGTGTGAATGGGGCTAGCTCTCAGAGGAGGGGAATCGAGATTATGGTTTTTGTTAGGGGGGTGTTTGTGTTTAATGTTTGACCGTGTTTTGAACATGGTTGTCTTTTGTAAAAAAATATATGTGTCTGAAGAGAAAAATAATGAATTGGATGGAGGAATTAATTGCTGTCTTTTCCGGACCTCAAATTTGGTTTGTGTTGTGGGCGAGGGTGATAGCTAATTAAAGCAGTTGGGAGGAGCATGTCCTTTTTGAAAGTAATGATAAGAAGTGTAGTTTCATTTTAAAAGCTAGGCGAAAATATTCGGAACATGTCTCTTCCTGAATTTGATTTTTTTTTTTATTTTTTATTATTATGGTGTTCTCAGTTCTCACACTTTTGGGTGTGGGATTTGGAACATTAAGTGTAGCATGATTCTAGGCACAAGTCAGCAATCTCTCTGTTTTGTGAATTGAGCTGTGTGCGGTTGTAGGTTGTTGTTGCTGCTTTGTGATTTGAGGTTCAAATTATACTATTAGTTGCATCATACCATTTTTTTTAATTTTATTTAGCTTTTTGGTATTTATGAAAAAGTCTCCTCCAGTTTTCACATAGCATCTCCTATAGAGTTCACAGCTTAAAGGCCCTTGCCTTTAAGGAGCAGTAAAAAGAACAGAACATTTCTAGTCCTGCATAGCATTTAAAGTTCTGAGAGGAGTTAGTGTGCATGCATTTATAACAAGCCTGTTTATTGCCATCATCATAATCAAAGATCTAAATGTGCTAGCCTTTCTTAAAAAAAAAAAAGAAAGAAAAAACCTTGAGGGGACTAATTAACAAAAAGGTACCCCTCATGCACAGACACAAGCACAAAAAGTGGCATACTCCTGCTGATGAACCAGCAACCATTCTTTCCAGTATCCAACCATGGTTATAAATGAGAATTAATGTTAGTAGGTGAGCCTCACATGACCCACATTTCTGCATCCAAACCATGCTAAAACATAAGCTTCTAAGACCATCACCCTTTCAACTATTAGAATCAATCTAATGGTAAAAAAAGTTTGGGTAATATACATAATCTTAAATTTGAATCCCATTTTATCAGCCATAGTATATATAAAATCTTAAATTCGAATTTTATTATCATTATTGTAATTTTTATAGATAAAAAAATAATCACCCATCTACATAATAGTTTTTCACAGTAAATTTTTCAAATCAGAGTGAACCCCTCTTCAATTTCAATTACTAAATGACCATTTTTTGTTTTCATGCCTACAATCTTCAATTATTGACTCTTGTGATCCTACCCTTGACAGCTATGCTGATGGATCATCTGCAAAGGGATTCTTTGGCACTGACACCATCACAGTAGACCCCCAAAATAGAAAGCATGGAGCACTGACTAATCTCACAATTGGATGCTCAAAATCCATGCAAAATGGGGTGAACTTCAACCAAGACACTGGTGGCATATTGGGTCTAGGCTATGGCAAGGACTCATTCGTTGACAAAGCAGGTCGACAATATGGTGCCAAATTCTCATACTGTCTAGTTGACCACTTAAGCCACAGAGATATTTCAAGTTATCTAACTCTTGGTCCGCACCACCCAGCCAAATTGTTGGGAGAAATAAAAAGAACAGAACTCATTTTGTTCCCTCCATTCTATGGTGTGAATGTAGTAGGCATTTCAATTGGTGGCCAAATGCTGAAAATCCCACATCACGTTTGGGATTTCACAGCACAAGGAGGCACAATAATTGACTCAGGCACAACTTTGACAGGACTACGTCTCCAAGCATATGAGCCAGTTTTGGAGGCTTTGACCAAGCCGTTGACCAAAGTGGTGAGGGTTCCTGGGGATGATTTTGGAACGTTGGATTTTTGCTTCAAGTCTGAGGGGTTTGATGAGAGTGTGGTGCCAAGATTTGCGTTTCATTTTACAGGGGGTGCAAGGTTTGAACCACCAGTGAAAAGCTACATCATTGATGTGGCACCACAAGTTAAGTGCATTGGAATTATGCCTATAGCTGGGAACAGTGGTGCATCAGTTATTGGCAATATTATGCAGCAAAATCATCTCTGGGAGTTTGACTTTTCTCAAAACCATGTGGCATTTGCTCCTTCTACCTGCACCTAGTTCGGAATGTCAATGTCAATGTCAATGTGAATCTCATCACCGTTTCCTTTTCTTTGTATTTTTACTCTCTCCCTTATTTTCTTGAGGACACAAACAAGTCACATTTGGTGCTTGTTTAGTTCTAATTGGATTATTACTTATTTTTTTTTATTTTCTATATTTTTTTCCCCTTCATTCAGATGCTTTGTAAAATATTACGTGTAAACATGTATCATACATCTAATTGAAGCTCTTATGATGTTTAATGATACGTGGCTGGGGCCACAGATTTCCTTGTAAGATATAATATCTAGTATTCACACTATCTCTGTTCCATCATCTCTCATTTTACTTTCTGCCCCTTAAACAGAAAAGGACAAAGCTTTTAATATTTTATTACAGTTATTATTAAGAGTTTAAGTAATGTAAATTCTGAAATTATATGTATGTATATAAATTCTATATATATAAAAAAAATATGAATAGTGAAATTTACCACCCCAATAAATATATAGCTATTTTTTTCTTAAATATAATTAGGTTGACATGATTGAAGAGTTGAAGATAATGTTAATTATATTTAATTATTTTTTGTAAGTTTGCTGTTATCGTTAGAATCATCGTATTCGAGGTATTATCTGCTTTGACACTCGTTGAACTGATATGATTTTGTTTAAAAGACATCTCGGTGGGTTAAGGAGGGAGAGTGTTTATAAACTACTTTTAGCCTTAATTCCTAAGTGATATGAGACTTTTAAGCATACTGGAACAAGCTCCCTAGTCGATGTTAAGGGACAAGAGTGGCCTGGGCCCTTCTTCTAGCGCCAAATGTTCTTATCGTAAATTTGCTGTCATCGTTAAGGTTATTGCATTCGAGATATTGTGGCACTTGTTAGACTTTCACGATTTTATCCTTTAAAATGTACTTTGATAAGTTAAAAAGAGAGAGTATTTATAAACTATCACACTCCTAAACGAGCGAGGCTTTTAGGCACTTAAACAACTTTTAATATTTTATTTTATGAAAATATATATTTTTTTTAAAAATTTATAATATTTGATGTGAGATTTAAATACTAATAATTTAAAAAATTAACTATTAGATTGACTTAGTGATAGAGATTAAGGTAATATTCATATAATTTTAAATTTAAATTTTAATGTCGAATTATAATAATAAAAAAATTACTAACACTTTAGAAATAGTAAAAGAAAATTACATTTATTGGAAGAAAAACAATAATTGGCGTTAATTTCAAAGCAAGTCGGCGGAAAATGACAAGAAAAAAAGAAAAATATTACGGTTAGAACAGTGAATTCTAGTTTACTAAAACAAACTATGCCTGCTTGCTGCACAATACAAGCATGGCTCCTAGCTTTCAATAATAGAAACATGTCAAAATCAAATGCTAATTTATGGTGTGAGTTAAACCAATAAAGATAACTAACGTCTACATCATATATTACATCGTGAAAATATATGTTATTTTTTTTAGTGTCATGTTGATATACTGTAAGGGTAAAAAAATTGTGATATTATGATATTTAAAGTAATTATTACAAGAATAATAATTTTATAATATTTGACAATTTATAATTAATAATAGTGCCAATATATTTAATTATTTTTTAATGGGAAGGAAAGCAAAGTGCATGCCTGAATAAAAGCTTTTGCTTTTTCTACAACATGATAGTCCTTATCACAAATACTGTCTAAGAATTAATTAATTCTGAAATCCTGGCCGACATATTTTTATCATTTTCAGCTTTTTTATTTTATCATAATCAAACAATAATCAAGATAGAACAATCATATTTCGATTTGATGATTTCATCAACAGAAATAACAGAAGCCTTTAATTTATCTACAATTTTCTACATATCAGTATCAACAAGAATACTTGTCAAAAAATTGAACAATAGCAAATCACATCTATATCGGAAAAGTAAACTTGTATATCCATTGCTGAAGAGATAAGTTTAGTGTCTAAATCATTTGATATGTAATACATAGGTTACAATATATAGAATCTAAACACATATGCATGTATAGTCATAAAATATATGAGCTGGTTTGCTTGTAGAAATGACCAAATAGGCAAATATATATCTCTAAATTCATTGCTTTCTGTTTTCATAAAGTCATGTATTGAAAATTCAGTATACAATATAGATTGAGACTTGTGAAGTAGATTGAGAGACATAAGAATGTTCACAATACGAAGCATGTGTATCCAAGTTTGCCACTCCAATCATTGACGTGTACCATCATGAGAAGAGAAGGGGATTATTTATTGATGATAATTAAATTGTCATGCAAACATTAAGAAAATGAAAGAAAATTAATCACTTGAATAAAGTGAAGACGCGATTAATTAACACGTACCATTCATTTTATATCATATGTTTGACAACTAAGCCAATGTATATGTTTGTATTATTTACATTATTGATGCTTGAAATATCTTTGGTTTTCCCAATCAATCGTCAATAAGACAAATTACCCGTAGTAGTTAAAAGTTTGGAGTTTGTGCTATATGTGACAAAGAAAGCATGCATATGAAATTTAATCTTTCTTCTACTTTTTCTCTCTTTTTTTTTTTGTTTCTATGTTTTTTTAAGAAGAAATGAAACCTAATCATCACGTGCAATGTTTGGATTCTGTGGAATAATGGCATCTAGACACCTAATAATATAAAGAGGGCCTTCAACTAATGCAGCACATATAGATTGTGTTCAACACAATTGATGTTGACGGGAAAAATTATTTTTTTTACCCCTTATACAATGTAATTTTCTCTTCATCTTATGAACATTTGTTTCGATTCGCATTTTAAAATATGAATAGTAGTCTTTTAATTTCTAAATCTGAGTAAATATTATCTTTTTCAATCAATGTTATTTACGATTTTGAAGTATATTTTGAATTTTTTAAATTGATTTAAAATATGAGACTTATTTCATTATTTACCTACATAAAATTTATAAAATCTGATTAATATTCTAACTAAAAAAGAAATACAAGTATAGTAAAAATGGCATAAAAAGTGAGTCCTATGAATTAATAATTATTTTTTTTATAGTTGATTTAATTTTTTGATTGTTGTTGGACTTATTTTTTATGTGATTTTTCCTATATATATGACTTAAAAACTACTGATAGTGATATCGATCATAAAAAAATATTGTTTCAAATTTAGATGTCACCACTTAAATAAAAAAGTATAGTATTATGTCAAAGATAGAATGATTTGGATATACGTTAGTTTGTAATACTAAATCTTCTATAGGATTAGTCCATCAATTACCTCCAAATATCACAACCTTTTAATACAGGGTTAGAGACTAAGTCCCCGATCCGTTACTTTACTTAGTTTGTCACTTTATTAATGCGTGTCTCGACCTTATCTACATAGGGATATCTAATAGAACCTAGAGAAGATAATTGAAAAATAACTTACTCATTTAGAGGTCAACCTACTGAAGGTTTAAAATCGGATTCTCAAAGCACCATAACATATATCCGCACAATGGGATATTAAGTTCGAAAACATCTTAATTCTTCTCTAGGTACTATATATAGTAACTAAGATATGTATCTAACCCACACACCTATAGCTTATCAACTTAACATTTTTATCATCTTTAAACATTCAACTTATCAACTCTAATAACATACAACTCATACGACATTCAACTTTTAACTTTACAACATATTACTTAAACAACGTAAACATCATACATCTTTGCAACATCCACAACTTTGATTGAATAACATCATAAATCAACTTAAGCAACTAAAACAACTTACAACTTTGCAACATATTCAACTTACTACATATCAACACATATAACATCTTGTAGACACCCAATTTCGTCCGGGGGGCATACCAATAAAGAAATGGACGCCTATCATAAAAGAAATAGAGCTCCCAAGCATGAAAATAACAGGACATGACATCAGAAGGCTAAAAGCTCAAATAAGTTGGTTTTACTAGCCCTGAACGAGCTGTTCCAAAATTGGAATGGGCCGTTCCAATTTACAAAAAGAGCCTAAAAACCAAGTTTGGAACGGGCCATTCCGAAATTGGAACGGGCCGTTCCAAGCTCTTAAAAAAGTGCTAAAACCTACGTTTGAAATGGGTCATTCCCAAATTGGAACGGGCCGTTCCAAGTGACAAAAAAAAGCCTCAAATCTTAATTTGGAACGGGCCGTTCCAGCATAGCAATTATGTGTTAAACAAACCTCTGGAACAGGCCGTTTCGGTTTCAGAACGGGCCGTTTCAATATACGAAATTAACACACAACGTTTGGATCTAGAACGGGTCGTTCCGAATCCGAAACGGGCCCTTTTGGCCCCCATTCTGATGCCTATAAATAGACAGCTTGGGCACAGAATTTTGTAGGTCCCGTGTCTTACTTAACGAGTCTCTCATGATTTAGCAGTAAGATTTCTTAAATTTTGTGATTTTCAACTGATAATAGAGTGCTAACGTGAGTATCACTAATATTTTTTATGATGAAAATATACCTTTAAGGCGCAGCCATGCATGCATCAACTCGTGGGCTAGTATAGCACCTGTGAGCAACCTGCATCAGGTTCAATAATGAAGTTTGAAGTTTGTCCTTGGTACTGTATCTAGCGAGTAATTGAAAAATATCTAAACTCAATTATATTCAAAAGTGACAAAAAAGCATTAAGCTTCCATTGTCCACTAGTTACCTAGGAAGACCGTATAGAACAAGAATTGCTGTAACTTCACATTTTCTAATCAATTTTTGATGTTGAGTTCTCATCCCTATTAGTCGATGGCCTCCAATTCTTGGCCTTCTATGTATCTGAAACAACATAATCATACAGTAGTGAATTTATCTGACAAATAATAGCAATTTCATTCACGATGTGTTTCAACATTCTAAACAAACAAAAAACTGAATATTTTTAATATCATACACTGGTGACAGTCTGCTCTTCTGAAAGACATAAACCCCTTGTTTCTGGTAAGTGGTGAAAACCCTGGCAGAAACAACTAAGAGTGAGAAAAAGTTGGACGGATTATTATTTCACTAAAATAAAGAAGGGAGTTTTCCATACATTCTTTTCCCCTTCAATAGCTTCATTAAGTGCTTCTCTTTCAACGAGAAGCATGGGAATTTGCTGATCTATTCTCATCTGCATTCCTTCATAGTAATCTCTGATGGAATGGTAAAGGGGCTGGCAATCACCAGTATCTGTTATAGCAGATTCCATGCACTCTAAACACAAACTCCGTCCATCTTCTAGTCTATAGTATTTTATGTTCCGTGGCTTCAAAGGAAATATAACAGTAGAAAATAAAAGAAATTCTTTATCTGTTCTGAAAATAGGAATTATTAAACAGTCTTAACTAGAGTGCATAAATCAGTACCTCCAGTCTTTCACAACTACAGCAACGAGCTGTGTTATCATATTCATGAGATGGACAATACTTTTGGGACCAAAATGGGTGGCACCTATACTCAATCAAACCAGCAGAATTTATAGGAATCTGAAATTAAAATGAAAATTTCATTACTTTTAATAGGATAGCTCCTTATTATCAAGTGTCCTGTTATATTATAAAACTATATTATTATTTGGTTCCTCCATCATTAACAATCTAATGCCTTAGTCCTATTTAAAGTATATAACAAACTGAAATTTAATAATATTAACAAAGAAAACTAACAAGTAGTGACAAAGAACAGTTTGAATAAGGAGAGGCAAAACTAATCTTACAAATTGGAAGCAAACTTCACATTTTGGGTGAGTCAACTCTTTAAAACAGGACTTGTGATATGGATGCTTCCCTGACAATGAAAACTTGGATCAACAGAAAAAAGAAAACAGTAAGAGATGGATCAAAAAGAACAATTATGATCTCAACATCCGCTAAAAACATCAAAGAGGATCAAACTACCTCACGCTCTGTAATGGGGTAACGACAAGAGTGGCAGCGAAAGCAATTTGGATGAAAATAAGTATCCATGCAGCCCAAACAATTTCCATAGATTATCTCTTGGTTGCAGCCACCACATATTCTTCTGTTTAATGGCAAAATACACATTATTAATTGTAAATGCTACCAAAATATCCTGCTTTTCCTTTTGCTTAGACATTTACATAGAACTCTACCCCCCAAGCACATGCTGCAAGTTTCTTTTCCCCTTTTAAAGATTTTAGAAGAAACAGATTCTGATTCCTTTTGCAACTTGATTCATTGAAACAAGCCAGAAATGATGCTGCAGACCATCAATTATTCATCCATTGATGTGAAGTAAACTTGATTACTTGAAAGTATTTAGTGAACAACAATAATGCAATTAATTACATAATATAGAGAGATATTTATGTACACATAATGTCAAAATATCTCGACTTCTGAGCATGAGGAAAAAAAGTGATTGGCCAATATAAGAAAGCTCGACAACCTTACTGTGGACCAAATTGAAAACACTTGTTTGGCATTTACCTAATGAATACAAGATTTAGGACAGATTTTACCTATATTCGTGGGGATAAAATGGTGTAGGGGCTACATATGGAGGGTGTGCAGAAGAGTTAAGGGTATCCTGAAGTGCCTTTGAGTAATCATCACCGGTGTCTTCTCCCCAACTATATCCTTGATGGGCTAATGAAAACAAAAGTTTAATCTTTGATAAGAAAGATCAAGATATATAACAAGTAAGAAGCACCTTTTTGAAATTCAAGTACCAACCGTTTGGTCTCTTTAAATCTTCAGCTGAAGAAAGTGCCATTGCATGGCCCAGATCCTCTTTCTCCTTCTGAGCTCTACCACGGTCATCCTAATTATTACATTTTTTAATTGCATTACAGATAAAAATTAGGAAATTACATGAGAGGGTTAGAGATCATATTTAATCCCAAACAGAAAAATACTAAAAATACAATAATAAGGGTAGGAAGGAAGTTATCTTCAAGGAAGGTGACTGGGTTTGGCTACACCTTAGGAAGGATAGGTTTCCTTCCAAAAGAAAGTCAAAGCTTAGTCCTAGAGGAGATGGACCCTTCCAAATCCTTAGGAAAATCAATAACAATGCCTATGTTCTAGATCTCCCTTCTGAGTATGGTGTTAGTTCTAGTTTCAATGTTTCTGATCTCTCTTTGTTTACAGGACTAGCTACACAAGAGGAGGACACTTTGGATTTGAGGACAAATCCTCTTCAAGAGGGAGGGGATGATGGAGGAGGCCCATGGGCTAAGGGCCCAACTACTAGAGCAATGGCAAGAAGGATGCATGAAGAGTGGGCCCAAGCCCAAGAAAGGCCCATCACTTTATTTTGTTGGGCTTTAGCTCAAGCCCATTAGATTAGGGTTAGTATAGGGTTGGGCCTTGGTGCCTTGTATTTTCTTTTGGGCCTTGTATTTTCGGCCTTTTGTAGTGTAGGAATTACATGTAGAGGTCATTTGGAATTTAGGGTTAATTAAGGTTGCATGTGTATTTTCATTAGCATGTAATTAAAAGCACATTTGGTGTGCATTTCGGCCATGTGCAACACATGCACATGGTGTGATCCGAAATGCAACTCAAATGGCCTCCTAATTACATGCCAAATGAGAGCACATGGAGGGGGTGGCCGGTTGGCACCAAAATTTGAATTTTAGAATTCAAATTTTGGCGCCTAGAGTTAAGTTAACCATACCATGGTTTTACTTAACTCTAGGTGAACCCAACTTAAACCCTTAACCTAATTTCACCTATAAATCTTCCTATGGCCGAGTCTTATATCACTTTTGGAATTAATTGAATGAGATTTCTTCACTTGAAAACTCACCCTCCGAAAGCCCCTTTGGTTTCCTACTCTACCCTCCTTGAGTGCTTCTCTTTGTAGAGCTAGGACACCCTTTCTTCCGTGGAACTTAGCTAGAAGCAAGCTTGGGCCACCTTGAGTCTCTTTGGAGCTCCAATCCTTGAAGCCTCTTCCAAGGATCCGTGGAGACTTAAAGTTCTTCCTATGTGCATCCAAGTGGAAGCACATCACTTATTGATTAAATGATCTTCCCGAACTGTCTCTCGATTTTTAGTTCGGGATGTTGCTTTGTCCTAACTTTTGTCTAGGTAACTTGAGATGTGTTTCCTAGCAGACATTTCCTTTTCGATCCTTGCTTTTGCCTAGGTTACCTTTTTTGTTCGTGAGTCTCCTAGTAGACCTTGCCCTAACTTTTGCGTAGCCCCCTTAGTGGGTTTCCTACCGGGCTGTTATTTTTTTACAACATTTGTGATCATTCTTCATTCCTTCATTAAAGGGGGATGCCCCTTGCACTCATTTTGTTTGGACTTCTATCCACAAGTGATTTCAAATTTGATTGATCTTTATGTGTTCCTTATCACGTATTAAGCCATTGTTTTTAATGACGTCCTTATTTCAAATATGCGTGTTCATTTAAGGTTTGTTGACAAGGCTTAGAATGTTGAAGGAGGAAAAGAATTGAAGTAGAAAGATGTATGGCATTAAAGATAATATTTTTGATTTACACTTGCCCTTTTAATGTAGCTCAAAGGCCCGAGCATGCCCTGAGTTCGTGATTCATACACAGAGAAGTAGAAGGAGGTTGCCCCTTAGAGAGGCCTGGGTGATTTGACTATAGCAACCTGCATCAGGTTCAATAATGAAGTTTGAAGTTTGTCCTTGGTACTGTATCTAGCGAGTAATTGAAAAATATCTAAACTCAATTATATTCAAAAGTGACAAAAAAGCATTAAGCTTCCATTGTCCACTAGTTACCTAGGAAGACCGTATAGAACAAGAATTGCTGTAACTTCACATTTTCTAATCAATTTTTGATGTTGAGTTCTCATCCCTATTAGTCGATGGCCTCCAATTCTTGGCCTTCTATGTATCTGAAACAACATAATCATACAGTAGTGAATTTATCTGACAAATAATAGCAATTTCATTCACGATGTGTTTCAACATTCTAAACAAACATAACCTTTGGGGGGGGGGGGTTTAGCCTTCCATTAAAATGGAAACAGAAACAAAAATACAAACAGAAACGAAAACACAAACAAAAACAAAAATGGAAACGAAAATGCATGGAAGGAGAACAAAACGAAAATGGACAATCTGTATTTCTTTATTGCAATGGTTCAGTTCAGATACAAAATGAATATAAGAGGAGAAGAAGAAAAGCAAAACGTTCAGAGCAAGAAAAACGTGAATAAAAATGGTCTAGAACAAAGAACCAGCTGGGAAGCAAAAACGTAAAGGAACAGCTCCAAGAGAGAAAACGTAAAAGAAAGAAGAACCAGGAAGCCAAAAAAACGTAAAATCAGAGAGGAGGCTACTGTTCACGTAGTCACATCAGCCTTCCTTGTTAGTGGCTGCCAAGTCAGCTCTAACCTAAACCTAAAATGACCTAAAATGAGATTGGGTCCCAAAACAATTACATGTCTGACCCAATAACAATAAAATAGCCTAAAAACTAAAAATGCATGCTGAGGTGGAAAATGGTGCAGCAGTGACATGGCAGATGACGTGGCAGATGACGTGGCAGATCTACTTGAAGTCCAAAAATTAATTCCAAGCCCAGATAATTACTAAACTGCCTTGAAAATAAAAATTTTGGAATAATTAGATTCAGAAAATTCAAATTAGTTAAAATATGAATTACCCGTCCAATTAAAGCCCAAATAGAAAATAGTGCAGATAATCAACAATTAAGCACCAATCAGAGATTAAAATAAGTACAGAAAGGTAAGAAAATAGGGGAAAATAATAACTCATCAAATTCCCCCACACTTAGCCTTTTGCACTCCTAGGCAAAATCAAAAAGCAGTGCAAGGAACAATTCCTAAAACAGCAAAGAGAGTGACACAGCATGAAGAAACAAAAATAAGAATACACACAAGAAAACAAACAGATTTACACAATCCTCAATGAATCCTGGGAAAAGAAAAGAAGTAGACAACATCTAACACATAAAGAGTCAGAGAAATCAGATACTGATGGAAATCATCCAAGCATTTCAAAACATGGCAAGACAATCAATCAGCTCAAGAGGTGAATCAAAAGCAACAGAACCTCACAAGATGCACTGTATCACTGTATCTCTCAAGTGTCTAGGCAACTGTATACTCTCAAAGCACTCATGAAAAACAAGCAACAGATAGACTTGGCAAGCCTCTAAAATCAACACCCAATAAACATGCACATAAGGATCAAAAGGTCTTTTTAGGGTTGTAATGAGGCCAAGGACAGGGTAGAGGAAAACATATGGGATAAGTAACTACAAACCAGAGGAACTAGAGGAGCAATGGGGAATAAGTCAAGAATGTGCACAAGAAACAAACCCAGAAACCTCTAATGACCTCTATGATGATCAATCCTCTTTCTCTTGCCTCAAACAACTTCTCTTTTTTTTTTTTTTTAACGAAAATTACATGATTTTTTGATTTTTTGATTTTTGATTTTTTTGATTTTTTTGATTTTTTTTGATTTTTTTTGATTTTTTTTGATTTTTTTGATTTTTTGATTTTTTTGATTTTTTGTTTTTTTTTGAATGAACAGTACGTAGTGAACAGTACACACGAAAATTTTTAAATGAGATAAGATAACATGCAGAGAAGTAAAGTGTACAACATAAGAAATCAACTAGCCAATATACATAATCCAATGAAACATACACAGACCCCCACACTTATTCAAGAACTTATTCCCAAAACAATTCCAAAGCTCCAAAACTCCCTAAGGTTAAGGTAATCATGGTTTTTCGCTTAAGGCTTGTAATGAGCTTCAAACAAAGAAGGGGAAATAGGCTCAGCAGGGGTTATCAGAGGAGTTAATTCAAGGTAGGTTTATTTGGCCAGAGGCTTATCAGAACAAAAATGCCTTAATCATATCCAAACATGCATGTGAATCAAGAAGTATCAAACAGAGTCAAGACAAGGCAACTATGCAAGCAATCAAGAGGCATAACACACAAGTAAGAACAGAGAGTGGCTCAAATCCTCACACAGGGTATATCTGTCACAATTAAAACAACCTCTCAAACCTCAAAATCATCTTTCCAAGCAAAGAAAAACAGGGATTTCAAACCATATAGTATCAAGAAACTCGTATCCAAGAATGAAGTAAGTGCCTACAAATAATCAAAACCCAGTAATCACAGAGAAACATGCAAAGCTGTACAAAACACATAAACACAAAACCTAAAATAACAAATAAACCCTAAAAGCATGTAACCAAAATAGTTCCCCCCCCACACTTAAATCACACATTGTCCCAATGTGGCACAAACAGAAGATCAGAGCAATCAGAACAATCAATAAATCTGGACAAGTGCAATAAAAGTAAAGGAGGAGAAGGGGAAAGAAAACTCCCTAAGTCATGGTGATGGAAAACTTGTTGGAGAATCCGGATTGATGTG